GTGTGTATGTGTGTGTGTGTATATATATATATATATATATATATATATATATATCTCAATGGAACAGAATAGAGAGTTCTAAATATAGGGCCACATATAAGTAACCAATGCTTTTTTATAAAGGTGCGAAGGCAATTCAATATAAAAGGATCATCTTTACAACACATGGTACTGGGACAATAGATATTCATTTCTAAAAAGAAAAAAAAAAGGAAGCAGCAGCCCTTGATTCTTATTTCACACCTCATAGAAAATGGATCACTGACCTAACTCTAAAACCTAAAACGGTAAAACTTATAGGAGTAAACAAAGGAAAGAAAGCCTTAGCGACCATGGATTAGGCCAAGATTCTTAAATATGAAACAAAAAGCACAAATTATAAAACAAACAAAAACATTGATAAATTAGACTTCCTAAAAATTAAAAATATTTGCTCTCCCAAAGGCATTTTTAAGAAAATCAAACTGCAAGCCATACACTGGGAGAGAATATCTGCACAACTATGTTTGGCAAGAGACTTGTGAACAGAATATGGAAAGAGCCATCACAGTCCAGTAAAAAGTTAAATAGCATAGTAATAAGCGAGCAAAAAATTTGAACAAAGGATTCACTAAGTAAGAATGTCAAATAAGAACATGAAAAGATGCTCAACATCACTAGTCATGGGGGAAACACACATTAAAACCACAATGAGGTACCATTCACACCCACAAGGATGACTAGAATTACAAAAATGGGCAAGGTTAAGTGTTGGTAAGGAGGGAAAAGTGTTGGTAAGGAGCACAAAGTTAAATGAAAAACACAGACATGGTCTCTACCCTCATGAAGCTTCTATCTAGCCATACTCTCTCCCTTTGTATGTGACAATCCTTTGACTTCACTGCCTTAAGAACTCCCGTTTTCCCGGCCCTGAGCCAATGTTTTGTGTTATAGCTGGAAACAGTGACCACTCCAGCTGTGGTATGTCTGGAAGTCTGGAGGAAAAAGGATCTAGAACCGTGAGGAAACAGTTGGCATTGACTCGGCTAAACCGCGAGCATGAGCTGCTGATTTGAGAGGAGAAGAGAGAGGTGTGACTGCTAAAACACTCTGGGCAGATTAAGAAAAAGCTCCGAGGCAGAAAATTCAACTAATCGGGGGCACCTCTGCCACTACGAAGGCTGACTGGATTCCAAGGCCACTGCGTCTCTACGGAGGCAGTGAAAGAACAGGAGTTACAGTCGGAATAGCTTAGCAGCTGTAAGATCTTGGAAAATCAATTCGTCTCTCTTAACCTCCAATCCCTGAGCATGTAGATGTCAGATGAATAATGACTTAGTAAAACAATGAATGAGAAAACTGTAGAATGTTGGAACCAACATTCGTTCTAGACACAAGGAATTTTTTAAATGGTGATCAGGACAGTAGAAAGAAGCAAAATCTTTTATATGAGAAATGGAGGAAAGAACAATGAGACACAGAGTGACCTGGTCTCTGTGAATGTATGCCTAGCTATCATGAAGAAAATAGAGAATATTTGCTCCATGTGATCCCAAGGATGGGAGCGAGGCAAATGGCTGTTATAAGGTATGGAGACGCATACCTCAGGCAGGCAGATGCAGATTCAATATGTAGAAGTTTCCGAGTGCTAAGAGTTGCTTACAAGTGGAATTGGCTACCTCACAAGGTAGTGAGCTTCTTGTCACTCGATGTCATAAGCAGCATCCAGGTGGGGTAGATGAAAAGGAGTATCAAACACAGCAGGTGAGAAGTAGAGAATCCAACCCAAATTCTGAATTGAGAAAAGTGGAGTTTTGAATACGGATATGGTGAGTTTGAAAGGAAGGCAGGGCATGTAAGTAGAGGAGAGACTGCCTGTCACTGGAGATACAGATGGGAAAGTCGTTATGAAAATGTCCATCGCTGAAGAAAGTCAACTGACTCCCCGTTACCGGTTTTGGTAAGCAAAGGCCAAGTGATTCTAAACATTTACAGAAGTGTGCTGGTGGGTGCCCTTGGAGCCACTGCCGGCTTGTAGAGGGCCTTGTGGAATCAAACATAGATGCAGCCCACTTGCTGCTGGCTGGATGTCAGTGCCCACTCACCTGCTCAGCAGAGCACCCTTGTGCATGGTACAACCTACCCAACTATCCAGTGCGGGCCACTATGCCACAGACACCCACAACTTCTTCATAAAGTGTCCACGTCGTACAGGACTCATGCCCATTTATAACATTCTAGAAGACCATGAAAATGTTTATCCTAGGAGAGGAAATACTTTTGAGTTCTCTTCTTATTGGTATTATTAGTAATAATCATAAAAGTAATATTCACAGCCCTTTACACAAAGTGCTTTCACATCCATCAGCTTGACCCCCATGCCAATCTGTGAGCTATGCATTGCTATTGTTTTCCCTTCACAGATGAGGAAATTGAGATCTAGAGGGATTAAGCTAGCACGTATTTTGCAGTTACAAACTCCTAATCATCAGGGAAATGTATACATTGACTCGCACAAACCACATTGATCCTGCAAGGGCCCAAATAAAAGGAAACAGCGGATAAGCATGCAGGGCTCCCAGAATTAGCTGAACCACCAATAGCCCCACTTAACCCCTTTACACTTGACTTAGCTCTGCTTGAGTCCTTACTGACAATCTCTATAATCTCTCTATCCTGCCTCAGCCTGGGTCTCCCATTCCAAATTTTGGTCCACTGGATAGCCTTCTGTTCTTGGCTCCTTCTATTCAGACACTCCACACAAATGGTTCTACTCAGAACAGCCCCTCCTCTGACAGGTCCTGGGAACTCCCCTTTTTGAGATTATCTTGAAGGCAGCCCTCATCTGTTGATGAAGCCTGGTGCGGCTGAACGTCTGTCCCAAACATTCTTTTCAGCTATACAGATGGGTTATGTTGAGTCATCATCCATGGGCTCTCCCAGGGGCTCCCTTGTGAACAAAGAGAGATGGTTGATAGGATTAGATATTCAGTCCAGGGGGCAGAGTTCAGTCTGGATCGGTGGTCAGGGCTAGAGGCTGACCAGTAGCCCAGGTCAGGGTGCTGATGTTCCTCTGAGAAAGTACAAGTATTTACTTCACAATGACTTTATCCACCATGCACATCATTCACATACTTGCTGCCTTCCCTGGTGTAAACAACAGAATGAAATGTCCTAACAAGGATTAGCCTGCCCATTGTCTCCGGATCTCAAGCCCCTTGCTTTCTCTAGTGCTTATCAAGGCCTTCTCCAGTGGAGCCCTCTCTCCCTAAAACCGGAAGTTCCTTCCTCTCGGCTAGATGCTTCATACCAGCATGCAAACACGATATAAGACTCATGTTTTAAAAAGTCTCTCCATGAACCCTATGTTCCTATGCAACTCCACTGCTTTACCCTTCTCCACAAAACCCAAGAAGGAGTTGTCTGAACTGGTTGTTGCTGCTTCCTCTCCTCCCTCTCTGTTCTCAACCCATTGAGCTTCTGTCCCCGGCCGTCCACTGAAATGGCTCCTGTCAACCTTCCTGTGGTCAAATCTAATGCTCACTTCCCTGGTTTATTTCACTGGATATCTTGACCTCTCTCTCCTGGGATTTCTTCTACTTCTGTTGCTTTGGGTGAAGGCTTCTCTCTCGAACCAGAAATGATCAGGTCCTCTGGGCTTAGATGCAGGTTTTCCTTAATTCTCAATCTCTGTCTTTCAGATGAGCCCTTAGTTTTAAATATCATCCTATGCAATGGAGTCTAAAGGGATCCTTCCATCCTGGACCTCTCCGCTGAGCTCTAGGCTCATTTGTAAGCCGTCTCCCAGCACTGCCACATGGACCCCAGTAGGCAGCTCATATCCAACATGACCTAAAATTGGATTCTCGTTACCTTCCTTTTACTCAGCCTTCCCCTCTCTGTGAATGCAGCCAGCTGCTTGGGACAAAAACCTCAGCATTCTCCTTGATTCCTGTCCCCCTCACCCCCATGTCACATGTGCCACCTTTGGCTCTAACTCTGTATGATCCAAATCTGCTCCGTGGACAGAGCCACCACCATCCTCACCCTAAGTACTGCCCTAGTGCCCTTCCTGGACCCCTGAAGGTCCGCACCCACCTCCACGACACAGTCTGAACCATGTTCTAAAAATGTGTTCTTGTGCCCTACACGTCTGGCTTTGCTGGACTTCTCTCTGTTTCCTAAACACGCCAACGTGGCTTTCTCTTTCAGGGCTTCACCCTCCGCTGGGAATGTTCTTTCGCCAGATCTTTTCCTGGCAAACTTCTCATCATTCACCAGACACTCCATCACTTCTACTATCTCCACGGGTAATGGTTACTTCTATATTTTTGTTCTTCATTAACTAGAAAGTAAGGTCTGTGTGAGCTAAGACTCTACCTATCTAGTTCACCAATTCTTTAGCACCAAGATCGATTAGGCTCGCAACACACATGCAAAGCATTAATGAATGAATGACCCCTCTCATGCTCTCTGATAGTCGCCATCATTCCCAAGCACCAGTCCCTGAAGCAGGCACCTGCTAAGCGTGAGCTCCATCTTTCTCTGGAGCCACACTGCCTTGTGGCAAACCGTGGCTCCACCGATAACTGGCTGTGTGACTTTGGGCAGATTTTGGGCTTCAGTTTCCACACCTGTAACATAAGGATAATAATAGTATCTCCCTCATCAATTGACTATGAACAAGTGAGATGGGACACATTTAAATAAAGTGATAGAATGGTGCGGGGCACACAGTAATTCTCAATACAAGTTAGTAAAGATTATGTCCTCGAAATAGCAATTCTGTAAGGCAGGATTCTTCAATCTTAGTATGACTGATATTTTGGGTGGGCTAATTCTTTGTTGTGGGAACTGCCCTACTCACGGTAGGATGCTTAACAGCATCCCTGCCTCTACCCACTAGCTGCCAGTAGCACATCCCCAGTTATGAAAACCAAAAATGTCTTCAGCTATCACTGAATGTCCCCGAAGGGACAGGAAGGGCACAACCATTTTCTACAGGCATATACTTTTACTCCTGTTGACAGATATGAATTAGAAGTTTTCAGAGTGTAAATAGTGGCCCACGGTCTTAGGGATACAAAGGGAGGAAGCAAGGTTCAAACTCCAGTCTTTCTGGCCCCACAGCACATGTTCTTTTCTCCACGGCTTACTGTGCTCGAGGCCCAAGCCCCCCTCCCTCACCCTGGTCAGCTCGCACACTCACAGATCCGTGCTAATTACATAGCAATGTAGAACGTTATATGTGGTTTGTTATTTTATATCCAGGAACATGGTCTATAGCCTTCATTACATAAAGCAGCTGTGTGTATACTTGGGGTCTAAGTGCTATTTAGTGGTCAGCTCGATGGGGTATTTTGTTTCAGGCATCACATTTCTTTTTCCCCTTTCCATACCTCTACTGAATCCTGAAAGGAGGTATGGAGCATGGCACAGCTTGGGCTAGAGTGAAAGGCAAAAGTCTCCTAAATGACGATGGTCCCATGTCCTAATGAGGTTGGGAGACACAGTGCAGGATGGGCCATATATGCAGTGTGAATTGGCCCCCCAGTGATTGTGTGTGTGTGTGTGTGTGTGTGTGTGTGTGTGTAGAAGCCACACCCAGTCAGCCCATGCTACCTGTACCACCTTCCCATCTGTGTCTGAAAGGAAGCAAGTGGTTAAGTAGAAAGACATAGACAGTCCAGGCCTCTAATTATCAACCGTGTGACTTGAATATGCCATGTGCGCCCTCTGAGACTTGGTTTCCTCATCTTTAAAATGGGTGTGAAAATATCTGTCTCACAGTGTTGCCGGGACCCTTTAGATAAAAGGTCCTGCACTTAATCGGTCTACCACAACTCCCAGCTGCCCTTCCTTCTGCACTTGCCGACGCCCGCGACCATGTCACCCAACCCCCCACTCCAGCCGCTCTCGGTGCCACCCTCTTCTCCAGCCAGGATGTTCTCTTCCCTTTGCTTTCTCTCTCTCCATCTATTTAAATGCTACCTGTCCTTCGCCGCCTAGTTCAAATCCCCACTGCTCCTGGAAGATGTCCTTGACGCTTCAACTCCCACTGACTTCTCCTGGACTCTTACATCACTCACCTGGCACCTAAATACATTGCAACTAGTCACCTGAGTATTTCCATCTTGTTCCAAAATTGCAAGGAGCCAGAGGTCAGGACTATATTCCTTCATGCCTCACACAATATATACTACACCTGGGGACCCAATAAGCATTGGTGAGTTAACAGTCAACACACACGATTGTTGTTGTATCACCTCTGTCTGCACACATCTCATCTAGAACCTGAGTTACCCTTCAACCAGCACCTGCAATTTATGCAGAGCAAGCTAAGAAGATTATATCCTTTGAAAGCCAAGATGAAGGGCTTTCCACAATCATGCATGGCCCTTCCTGCTGTAGTCTTATTTTCAGCCCTTCCCAACGGTTCTTGAATTCTCTCTCCCCCGCCATGATTATTCACAGCTCCCCAAATATGTCAGACACTTACACTTCCATGCCACGGCACATGCTGTTCCCACTGTCTGAAATGACCTGCCTCTCCTCAACCTCCCCGTCCAAATCCTGCTCATCCTTAAAGGTCAGCTCAGATATTGCCTTCTTGCAAAGACCTTTGCTGAGGTCCTCTCTCCTAAGGTTGTTCCCCCAACACACACACACACACACACACACACACACACACACCCATTTGTCTCCCAAATCGCACTATTTGCATCTGTCTCCCTCACTGGATGGCAGGCTCTGTGAGGACAGTATCTGAGCTGATCCCTCTGTGCTCTCCACACCCCACTCATCGAGCTGCACCACCGGTGGTGGTTTGTTTTTTAAGAGCGCCACCTTGTATAGCAACTCTGATCCTTTGTTGTGCTTCTATGATCTTGTGTCTCTTTCCCTACTTCCATGAGGGAAGGCTCTTTTCTGAATCACCTCAGTGTCTGATGTTTTTCTAGTTGTTTCCATCACTCTAGACTGTCTTAAGCATGGCTGACCGCTGCGTGGCCCTAGAATCTTCCCTCCTTGCCCCCACCCCATCCCCAAGGCAGTCCTGTCTTTCAGTCACCAAGGGTTCACTTCCAGACAAGGAGGGCTGGGGTGGAGGAGGCAGAGTCTGGGGTGGTAGGAGATGGGCACAAGTGGCATAGGAGCTGAACTGAACGTCAGGCCAGGCTGAGGGCAGCCCTCAGGCCCAGAGCAAAGTGCCTCCTTTGAGGTCAACTGAGCAGGGGAGCCCCTCATCTCCTTCCCTAAGAGACGCTCTGTGGCAGGACCCAGGGCTCCTGGATCTGCTCAAGAGGCAGATTTTGTTGGTTTAGTTCCGCTACAAGGCTTCTGTTTCTGCCCAGGCTGTTATAGCCTACAGATTCCTGGTACTCATCTGATTGAACATCAATTAAATTGCAATAAAAGGAAAGTGGGCCGGATGTGCCCTGGGAGAGGGGGCAGGTGGCTGCGTCCACTGCCTGCTTCCTGAGCCCTGTGCCTCCAGGCCCGTGGGCGGTCAGGGGCCGTGGATGCTGCACTCTCGTGTGGGACACAGAAGACCCTTATAGGTTTTCTGCTCCGTGAGCTTGTTCATACTGATGGCAGGGAAACTGAGGTACAGTGAGGCCAACGAAACTCCCCACAGCTGCTCAGGGAGACATAAGCAAAAGCACAGTGACTCTCTAGGATTTTTAGGGGTGTTCATCCAGGGCTTCTCTCACTACACCAGGTGGGAGAAAAAATTATTGGAAAGCACTAAGACCTTTGTTCATGAGGACTGTCTCCTGGGGCTCTAAACTTGTTTGTTCTTTGTTTTTTAGTAACAGCTTTATGGAAATATAATTCACATACCATATAATTCACCCACTTAAAGTGTAAAATTCAGGGGTACCTGGGTGGCTCTGGTGGTCAAGCATCTGACATCAGCTCAGGTCATGATGTTGTGGTTTGTGAGCTCGAGCTCCGCGTCGGGCTCTGTGTTGACAGCTTGGAGCCTGCTTCAGATTCTGTGTCTCCTTCTCTCTTGGCCCCTCCCCAACTTGTGCTCTGTCTCTCTCTCTCAAAAATAAACAAACATTTATAAGTAAATAAATAAATACATAAATAAATAAAGTGTATAATTCAATGGTTTTTAGTATATTCAGAGCATCGTGCAAACTTTACCACAATTAATTCTAGACTATTTTCATTACTCCCCAAAGCAACCCAGGACCATTCAGCCAAGGTCCCTTAATCTCCCTGTTCCTTCTAACCTTAAGCGACTACTAATCTACCTTCTTCCTCTATATATTTGCTGCTTCTGGACAATTCATATAAATAAATTGTATTATATATGCCCTTTTGTGACTGGCTTCCTTTTATTTAGTGTAAAGTTTTCAACACTGGTCCATATCATAACATGTATAAATACTTCATTCCTTTTTATGGAAAGATAATATTCCATCATGTGAATATATCACATTTTGTGTGTCCACTCATTTACTGATGGACATTTGGGTTGCTTGTCCCTTTTAGCTATTTTGAATAATACCACTACCTTGTGTGGATGAATGTTTTCAACTCTCCACTGAAGAATGAAAAAACCTGTTTGTTCTTGCACCTCATTAATAATATCAGTAACAAGGCTGGTGGAGATCCTAAAGTATTGTTGTACACATTGACTCAGAAAAATAGGACAGGAAACTAGGTGGAAAAAGAGAGGCACAGAGACGTTAAGTGTCTTGACCCTGGTCACACAGCCCTAGGTTAGGGCCATGAAGGAAGAAGTCATAGCTGGCATTCATGACAATTAGCCGATGAATCTTTTATAATTTTAGGAAAAAAGTCTCGGAACATTTTAAAAATCATGCACACATGCACCATCACTTTAATGATATGGATCCATTTTTAATGCCATCAGGTCCCTTCTTACCCTCTATCTGTCTCAAGTCTTCTAATTCTCCATGAAGAACATCACACTGCCTCTCACTGGAATCACCTTCTCCTGCTTCTCAATGGTTTCACCTCACCCTTACCGAGCGAGCACATCCTTACCTACTCCTTCACAGCAGGCAGCTTTGGAGCCAGGGGGAGCAGGGACTCTTCAAAGGACTTCTCTTTTGTCACCGCTGTGGTCTCAGAGCTCTGTGGGTGGGAAACACGGAGCCACGCTGTTGTCTCACACCATCCGGGCACTCTGGCCTGCTCTGCATCTGTCGCCAGACGTATGCTGGCCGGAGACCGAGGCTGCTCTGGATCCTAGTTGGTTGAACCATACGAAATGGCCAACGTCAGTTATTTGGGGCCTACAAAAATGACAGTCTAATGCAGTTCAACCTGCAAGTGTCTGGTGCCCCCCTCCTTCCCTCCTGTGCTCTGCCCAAAGGCCCAGGTCTTGTGCTCTGAGCCCTTCTGCCCCTCCGGGCCAGCTGTGTTCCTTGCCCAACCTTCTAGAGTGGCCATTCTCCAGCTGCTCCACTGGTGCCTGAAGACGTGAGTGCTCCGGGGGTGATGGGAAAGCACTGGGCTAGGAGTCAGGTCACCTCTGCACTGGCTGCCTGTCTCCTCACTGACCTCTCTGCCCCCAACTCGCCCCCTACAGTCATGCCTCCTAAAAGAACAGATCAGCTCCAGCCACCCGCCCTCTAACTCACGTCTTGCCATGTCTCCCTGTCACACAGTGTATGTAAAGTACAAACTCTTCAGTCTGGCCAGAAGACACAACTGAAGCTCCTGCCACTGGCCTTTTGTTCCAGCCGGGTCCAACTGCTTGCAGTCCCCTGGAGGAGTTTATGCTCTCTTGGCTCTGCACCTGGCACCTGCTCTTCCTCCACCTGGGAGACTTTGTGTGGCTCCTTCACTCAGCTACCTGTGACTTACCCTTCAAGACCACTCCCAGGAGTCTTCCCTGAGCGTCTGAGCTGTGTTGGGAGACCTTCTTCTCTGTTCCCATTCTCACTGCTTCTGTCTCTCCTGGTACTCATTGTCCGTTTTTTGTTTTTTTGTTTTTTTTAACTTTTTTCTTAATGTTTTTATTTAGTTTTGAGAGACAGGGCACCAGTGGGGGAGGGGCAGAGAGAGAGGGAGACACAGAATCTGAAGCAGACTCCAGGCTCTGAGCTGTCAGTACAGAGCCTGATGTGGGGCTTGAACTCACAAACCGTGAGATCATGACCTGAGCCAAAGTCGGCCGGTCAACCGGCTGAGCCACCCAGGCACCCCTCATGGTCTGGTTTTAATGGCCTTTTTGCATGTCTGTCCCTGTCTGCCTATCTGGGCTATGGGCTTCTGATAATTCTACCTAATTCATACTTCAATCTCTGTTGTCAGCATAGGTGTCATGAACTTTCATTTAACAGATCTAAGCAAGGCTTCTGTGACTGTTTCCCCATTTGCTGAAAATGCAGACGCTTGCCCCTGTCCCTTGGTTTTCTCTAAGCTTCATTTGCCCCTCAGGAACAGAAAATTGGATTTAAAGGTTCTCTCAATTCTCATGGTGTAAGGATTTGGGATATGAATCTTCCCTGTTCCCTGGCCATTTACAGGGATCCTATGTGGGTCCAAGGAAGTTAATGGGAGAAGATTGTTCAAATGGAGGTGCCAAGGAATTGTGAGGAAGATTACTTTGCTGTTCTGTTTTGTTTTAATTCACCTGGTGTCTGCAGGGCACGTACTAAGCACATTGCCAGTGTTAGCCAGGCACTGTATGATACAAAGTTGTAATTACCAGGTTCCCTGGATTTCCTTTGAGTGCTGCCTTCCCAGCCAGTCTGGGAGTGCCTGCCCACTCCTGCTTCTTTCGCTGTTAACTCCCTCCGCGACCTGCGCATCACATGCTTTGGGCGATGCTGGCCCAGGTCCCCAGAATTCGTCCCCTAGCCTAGTCCCTGTCCACAGAAGATCCCACAGAGTTTGGCCGAGCGGGGCCTCGGCCCGGGCGCCCCCTGGCGGCCGCGCACCGAAGCTAGGGCCGGCGGGGAGCGGGCCAGGGGAAGGGGGAGCGATGGGGGAGGAGGAGGCACGGGCAGGGGAGGAGAGGAAAAAGTTGCGCTGGGAAGTTTGGAAAGTGGGGAAGTGGCTGCTGCGGGCTTCGCCTCCCTCCGCGCGTGTGTGAGGGAGCGAGCGAGGGAGCGAGAGAGGAGCGAGCGAGCGCCTGCCATGCCCATCAGACCCCGCCTCGCCGCGCCCGGGCGCGGAGCTCGCCCCGACTCCCTGCGGCCCGGCCCGGCCCGGCGCGGCCCGGCGCGGCTCCGTACCCCCTT